TTATTGAGCTTTGTACCACGATTGTTTATTAGGAAAAATTGAAAAAGCAACAAAGTCTAAGCGGTAGAAGTTATAGCAGTATTTCGGAGATCACCACATCTCTTCATCAGACTTCTTTTTTTCTAGACTTCAGCAGGGATCAACCTGCGAATTCGATGTCTCAAAGTCAGAAGCGTTAACCACTGAGCTATGTATATCCCGTAAACTCTTGTTGCTAATTCATTTTCCTTATTCAACCAACTACTATCAAGTGCAGCTAATTTGCCGCTATTTAAACTCGACAGCGTGGTTGTTGTTGTCAATTCTATACATCCATTTGCTTATTTTGCTTTTTTGTATAGTTTCAGGCAGGCTCTTCCTAAACTATATATTTGTCAATGTTTTTGTGGCTTATTAACATTTTATTTTTAATATTTTTATTGAACTTTGTACCACGGTTGTTTATTAGGAAAAATTGAAAGAGCAACAAAGTCTAAGCGGGTTCGATCCCTGCTGAAGTCTAGAAAAAAAGAAGTCTGATGAAGAGATGTGGTGATCTCCGAAATAGCTGCTATAACTTCTACCGCTTAGACTTTGTTGCTCTTTCAATTTTTCCTAATAAACAACCGTGGTACAAAGTTCAATAAAAATATTAAAAAACAAAAAATATAATCGATAATTGCATGAGGCTATTGCCTGAAAATTTTAAAATGTACTTAGTGGCATTGTGCTACTATGATACACGGCGAGTAATCAGTTAACTTATGTACAGTAGACTGCATCACTCCCCATACAAAAAAAAGCGGTACTATTTTTCCACTGGAATTGTAAAATCTATTATATTTTAAGACTTCCGTTAAAATATCACGGAAATATATTAAGATTTAAGTGAGTTGGCCCGATTTGAAAATACCTCCAAAAATCGAGCTTTTTTATTAATAAAAACAGTTTTTTTTTTTTAATTTTTTGTGAAAAAATTACCTAAGATGACTGAACAGTTTAAGCTTAAAAAGTTTGCATAAAAGTATTAAAAAAAAATTTCTACAGAATCATAATAATCAGATTTTTGATGCTGTTTTTGCACTTTTTTCAAAGACTGGTTTAAGAAAAACTTAAATAACTCAGCCAAGCCTTTCCCAATGTAGACTTATGAGGTATCATTGGTATGGTATTTTCTCACTCTTTTAATTTCTTTGCGAATAAGCTCATTCAAAGAATGAAAGAGGAAGTTAAGAAACGAGTGTCATTCCATGTTGAATTAAGATGCGTTGGTATTGAATAAAGAAAAAATTGGGACGTGAATGAGTTTTTTTGCAAAGGAATAAAAAGGGCGGGAAAATACCTTTCCACTGATACCTCATAAGTCTATATCGGTAAAGTTTTGGAGCAGTTATTCCAGTTTTTCTTACACAAATTTTTGAAAAAAGTTAAAAAACAGCATCAAAAATCTTATTATTACGATTCCGTTGATACAATTTTTTAATATTTTTATGTAGATTTTTTTAGCTTAAACTGTTTTGTCATCTGAGGGGATTTTTTCCAAAACAAAAAATCCTTTAAGAAACTATTTTGATTCATAACAAAATCCATTTTTAGAGGTATTTTCAAACCGGTCCAGCTCACGTAAATCTTAATATTTTTCCGAAATATTTTGGTAGAAGTCTTAAAATATACTAGGTTTGGTAATCCCGCCGGAAAAACTGCAACTTTTTTTGGTGATGCAGTCTAATGTACCTACAGTTGTCGAAAAAATTATAGCCGCACCAAATTTTCACAAGTCTTAAAATAATATTTTTGTTTTATTTAATTTTGGTTAGTTTTTATAGTTCATTCCTAAACAACATCCGTATAAATACAAGTTTAAAGGCAGTGTCACAAGATTGGGTATTTGCCAAAATTTGGTGCAAATCGTATCCCAAATATTTTTCTTTATCCCAATTACGAAAATTAATTTGTTGAAATTTTTCAATAGAACATCGCTGTATTGTACCAATCTTTTGACTACAAAAAAAAAATGTTCCAATTTTTATTATTTTGTACCAATAGCCCAATATAAGAATGTACCAATCTGTATAAATGTACCAATCGAGTGTCACTGCCCTAAAAATTTATAACAATTTAAAAAAAAATTCAACAAATTTTCGTAAAAATTTCGAGTTTTTTAATTAGATTCTGAGTATGCAGATTTGTAGCCCATTGAATTCTAGTAGAATAGAGTAAAAGTTTCAAATGGCTAAAAACTACGATCGATTTTTTAGAATTTTTAAAAAAGATCGAAATTTGCACGAAAGTTTGTTGATTTTTTTTTTAATATTGCACAAATTTGGAAACTTGGATTTACACGGTTTGTGTTAAAGAATGAACTATATTTTATAAAAAAATAATCAAAATTAAATAACAACGAAACACCTACATGATGGTGGCTTCGATGGCCGAAGGCGGGAGTGATATAACTGGTGGCGGACCAAGCAATGCCTGGTCTGAGCCATTTATGGTCAAATGGTCAGATGCCTCATTACCTGGCACCCAGAGTAAAGCAATTTAGTCGAGACTTACATTGCCGAACTAGTTTGGAAGTAGTTGTAGTGCTGGCCAATGCCTTAGGTGCAGCTTGGCTGTCACTGCAGATACGAAAAATCCTTCCCCTCCACCCGTTTTCCACCATGTAGTCGATGACCTTGAGGATTGCAAATACCTCAGCGTGGAAGACCGAAGCATAATCCACAAGAGAAAAGTGAAGCTTATTACCATTAACTCCGATGAAGACCCCATATACTCACCCAGAGTCAGTTTTGGAGCCATCACGGAAGATTCGACAGTGTGTGAGTCTGGGCGCCAAGTGCTGGTATTAAACCAACATTCAGCCTCACACATGCATGTGACACGTTTATTTAGCTAATTTGATCTTTTCCACTGCACACTTTCTAGAGCATCTCGTCTACTTCAGTCTGAAGTTTACGCTTGATGGCATACAGGTTTGATGTATCAGCATCAATTAAGTAGTTTTTTCACTTGATTAAAAATGCAAATGAGCCCCGCATCTCAACGGAGCTACTTAGTGGAATATTGGTGAGTTCATAACAGGTTATAAGAATATGATTAAGCAAATCTAAGCTTTTTACTAATTAAACTTTTAATTTATTTAATGAAATCTAGCTACACTACAACGTGAATATCGTTTCATGTAATTATTCGTTCATATGCTCTTTATCCGTTGAAAACCAAACTTTTGTTGGAGATCTTACTGTTAATAGCTTTTTAACTGAAGACATTTATAATTGAAACCTACAACATGAATAGGCGTTCCTGTCATTTTTCATGCGTATGCCCTTCAACCATTGAAAAATGAACTTTTGCTGTAGATCTTACAACGATGATGAGTATTGCAGAATCATATTTAAATTTTAGCGTCCCCTAGGAAGCGAGCCCAGGTTCACTCAGTAGAAATGCAAATTATTGAAGAGCTCACGTTGGTTATTCACCATGTTGTTGTATTTCCACTTGTCTGCATTCTTGCTGCTTGCTGCTGCTGTAGGCAAACTAAGGCGTGCGGCCGTATTGGTGGCGGGACTCGAGGCGAGCGCTTTCTTGTTGACCGCCATAACCCGCATTGGACTCACATCCTTGGCTAAGGTGGCTTTCGAAGCTGAACGATGCTTTTGAACCATTTTGTTGAAGGTTTGATTCTTGTTTTCTTTGAAAAATCTATGAAGTACTAGAAAAACTTCCGACTAACTAGAATACGAGAGATGACGGGCTGTTCAATGAACAGTCAGCAAGGAGAGGTTTGCGGCGCGTTAGATTCAAGGAACGTTTTGTAGCAGCGTAAGTAAGGCAAATTCTAGACGATTGCCACAATTGGTGGTACGCGAGCCGCCTTGTTTGGATGAAAGATGTTTGGAAAGGCTAAAAGGAAATTGAATTAAGAACATTTAACATGGATTTATAAAGAAGTATGCGGACGTAGTCACGAGTATGAATGTACAAGAAATTTCAAACTTACCTTAAATTGTTAAGTAGTTTCGCTTTGGTGTCTGCTCGGTTATTCATTGACACACAACTTTATTTGACATCGGTTAGGAAAATTTACCAATGTTAACTTGTATTTGAAAACAAATTAGAAAAATATGTTTGTGAATGTATAATTTTTAACTGGTATAATCTCCAGTAGAGATTTTATGTTTATTTCGTCGCTTTTTGATTTTGTCGATCTGCACACTTTGACTTCATTCAGTGAAATGTTTTGGACGCGGTTCCGTCGCTCGACTTATATACCCTTTTGTCATGTGTTCGTGGCGTGTTACATTTTAGTTATGAAACGAACCCGAAGTCGATTCTCGAAAACAGGTTTGTTGTTTTTTGTTCACTTGTTTACGTGCGAAAATCAACGGACTGCAGGCACGAAAATATTTTGGTGGTATTTTTTTGGAAATCACCTGTTTACACGTGACAAAAATTTACCTGTTTTATGTATTATCAGGGGGATATTATTTTAAAACTTGCCGCTAATTCGGGGTCTTCTAGTTATAATATAATTTGTTTGGGCTTTGCTGACTAATTTTTACAAAAAAAGCAACATGTTTATAGAGGAGGAGGCTTAATACGAACGTCAACAAATTAAAATGCATGCGCCAATTAGAGCTGGTTTTTGAAATTAATTACATATGGGTGTTTCCATGAAAATGTCAACCAGGACTGAAAAAATAAAAACAAATGAAAAGGGTTTTTAAGACGAATTAATAAGAGTAAAATACTCGAATTTTTATATTATAGAATTATTTCAGCTTATTGGAATTTTTAAACTCAAAAATTTAAGAGTAAAACTGAATGTCTCTTCCACTCAGTTTTCTCTAATGAAATGAACTATTTTCTCTTTCCTATTAACTAAATTAAGAGATTTGAAACATTACAATTATATCTTAAAATCAAATTTGCAATAACAACTAACTATAAAAATAAGAAAAAGGAGAAGTTAGAGCTCGAATAACGGTAATATTTTGATTTGCTTCTGATAATATTCTAATGTCGCGTACGTTATGCAAAAACATTGTTTGTCTATGTCATTTGTATATTGGCAGTCGCACGTAATGCAGATTACAATTCTTAAGCGAGAATTCTTCTAGTTAAAGATACACAGTAAAATTTTCTTTCCAACCGAAGTAAAAATATATTTTATTACCCTTTAAAGTTTGTCGCATACGTTATTGTAAGTACGAACATTTCAATCAAATGCATCAAAACCAATATTAATTGCAAATTTTCCATTTAAATTATTTAGAATACTTGTAAAACAATGAAACGGTGGCGGGAAGAGTTCTCAATAAATACATTTTATTACTTACGAGAAAAATTGTCGCGTACGTTATGTCGCGTACGTTTTTTTTTTTTTTTAATATAAAACTAGCCAGAGATAATTTCTCTTAAAATATGAAAGGATTGTAAAGGTACATTATTTAGCTTAGTTTAGGAATTTTTAAAGAAAAGAAAAACTCCCATGATTCGCAGACTTTCGCATATATGCGTGTTTCCATGAAAATGTAAACCGAAAATGCAAGCAAATGAATTCAAACGGCTTTATAACTTTAAATTTCGTATTCAGATGGCGGAAAAAGGTTTTGAAAACGCGAAACGGTGGAGAGAAGAACTGAAAAAATTTAATTTAGTATGTGTTACTAGTAAAAATATTGTACGTGGGAAAAATCTGTCGCGTACGTTATGTCGCGTACGTTATTATAATTTTTTTTAATAAAAACTAACCAGAGATAATTTCTATCAAAAAATGGAAGGATTGTAAAGGTACATTATTTAGCTTAGTTTAGGAATTTTTAAAGAAAAGAAAAACTCTCATGATTCGCAGACTTTCGCATATATGTATATGTGCCTTAAAACCACTTCTTTTTTTGTCGCGTACGTTATCACCTGGTTTTGAACGGATATTTTCGAGGCTGCTTATTTTTTTCTCAAACATAGTACCCTTTGGTTGCAACATAACCGTAATCTTTTTTTTCAGTAACTTCTATTTTTGATAGATTTACGTTACTCTATAAGCGTACGAATGTCGCGTACGGCAGTATGGAAACACCCATATGCATGTTTGTAAGCATATACAATATCTTTTTTACTCGAGGGCAGTTCGATACGCTTCTGATATTCATTTTTTGATTTTGCAAGCAGCTTTGATTCTTATACCGGCCGTTGTGTGAAAGACTACAGTTATTTTCCTTCCATATCTTTGGTAAATGGTGTTAGAAGAATTCGAAATCTCACACAGGACTTCCTATTTATTTCTTAAAGAATGTAATTTTTATGTATATAATAATAGCTAACCTGGTGCACTTCAAAAATTTCAAAATTACTGTTCAAATTGAATGTATTAATAACGTAAACTTATAGCAGTACTCGCGAATAAGTATGATTTGGCCCTTTTATTTTGAAAGTTTTTTGATAGTAATAATAATATCTTCGTTTCTTTGGAACAATCGGCAAAAGAACGCTGACCTCGGGTGAAATTAAGAAAAAAAATTCCCCTAAACACTTTCCTATCAACAATTCATAGTAGAGCAGTTTTTCACCTAAATAATACTACGCTTCAGATCGTGAATCTCTTAAGCTGATGCCAGACAAAACTCTTGCTTCGCTTTGCGTAACAGATTCGCTTGGACAGATAAGATGAATTCCATGAAAATGCACAAAGCATGCCAGATAGACCGTAGCAGCTGGAGCGCGAAGCGAAAAGATGGCCAACTCCTATCTTTTTGCGCGCGTTGACAATCAGCCGGTTTAATATTTATTTTATTTCGTCCGAATTCGAGTTTTCATGCAGAAACATAAAATTTAGTTACATTGCTGATATTTTTAAAGATGAGTACATAAAATCCACAGCAATTTTGACGTGTGAAGAAGCAATACAAAATTGTTTTCTTGGCATTCATTGTGGCATACCTTTTGAGTCTGGCGCTTTGCTGGCAAAATTATAAATGTCGCGCAAAGCCACATGGTTTTATCTGGCACCAGCTTACCGACCTTGCTGAGCTCGGATAAACAGCCGAGTTTGTTGGTGGCTTTGCATACATTTCGTTACTTTACCGAGTGTTCTATTGTAGCTGCCTGTAAAAGAATGCACCTTATATTAGCATTGTTTGCCAAATACAGTTGGATACCTCATGACATATTCAGCTTAAAAGTTGAATCATAAAATGAATGTGATATGAACACTCAAACATTTGCACTTATATACACATATCGACTGCTGAGTGGAAGATCGACCTATATCGGCAGCCAATTCGAGTACGCCCTATCTTGAAAAGTTTTTTGAAATAGAGCGTTTTCGATTTGGCTGCCGAGATAGTTCGATCTTCCACTCAGCAGTCGATATTTTTCCTTAAGAAAAGAAATGTACAAGGGTCGATTAAATTACGAAACTAATAGAAACAAGTAATTTTCAACTCATATACAAATTTAAGAGTGCCGTTAATTTCTTTATGATCCAATGCGCCCCACGCTTTTCATTTTCAATCTCATAAATGGTTTATAATAACTTTTGCTAAAATTTCAAAATCAAAAGTTATCAACACAAATAGGACTGAGAAATATTATTTTCTACTTTTTAGTCCATTTACAAAAGCGTTGTATATTAAAAAGTTTTTTTTTATTATTTATTTAAATTAAATTCTAAAAATATTTTTGAAACGATTTTTTTGCCCGATGTATGTACATAAGAAACAGTTGCTTGTATCCACATCGTGGAACCACACCAAACATGGCGTCTAGTAAGTACCCACCAGTACTGCTGGAGTCAATCGCTACTTTTGAACCGCTACTGCACCGACTCTTAGGTAAGTAGCTACTCTATTAACCCGTGGTAGTGCACATGGTAGTGCAGAGTCGAACCAGTCGTAAGCAGAATAGCGAAAAACTACGACAGGGGGCGCCCATAAATCACGCAAGTGACTACTTTAGTAACTCCCGGTAGTACAGAGAGAGCCGATGGTGACTACCGCCTAGGACATTGCCTTGTAAAAGTAATCGATGACATACACTGCAAGTAGTCGGTTGGTAATTAACGGTGTTTATCAGGTAGCTACCGGTTCAGCAGTCCTGTAGTCACTCCCCGTACTGCAGGGTAATGACTCTCAGTTATACATACATACATCTCGCACACCTATGTAGATCTAAAGTGCGATGAACTCAAAAAAAAGTCTAAGTTCGGAAGAAGCCGAACATTAAATACCCGGCGCAAGTATTAAATATATGTTTTTCACCTTTCCGAAAGCTACCGCTACATGGTAAGCCGGGGCGTATCAATTTTGAGAAAATTCGCGTCCTTAAATTTCGAAATATTGAAGTTTCAAGCATTTCTGAAATTTACCATTATATGAAAAGCAGAAGTAATTTTATTCCGATTCCGATAATTTTCAACGTTTTGCTTTTATGTGGCAAACACAATAACCATACCGAGTTGGGTACAAATTGCGAGAACGGTTACCGAGATACATATATGTGATCATAAGTGGGCGGCGCCACGCCCATTTTCCAAAATTTTATTATAAACGTATTTCTTGGTATATAATTGTTGCAAGCATTAATTTTGAATAAATTAGATTTAATATTTACTGATTTATGGAAGATTTTGTATTTCTATAAATTACCGTTATATGGGATGTGGGCGTGGTTATTGTC